AAATAGTCGTGTTGTAAATCTGTAGAATCTTCTAGAAAGATTGTAAGGAACTATATAAGAAGGTACAGTAGGTTGTTGCGTTTAGACGAAAAAGAGGAAAAAGAAGAAAAAGAAGAGAAAAAGATAAAGGAAATAAAGGAGTTAGCGAAAACAATTCATTTTAAGGTTTATCACGAAACCACAGTCTGTTTTTTAATAACTAAAGTTAACCTCAATTGAAACCGTTTTTCCTATGTATAACGTTACGTTAGAGACAGGAGCATTTGTTAATATGGAGAAGACAAGAAACTTTAAGTTAATGCAATGAATTAAACAAGAAGCATGTGCTGTACCATAGTAACCATGGCTGTAAGTAAGCCTTGATTATCGCCGAGTCAAGGCAGCTACCCCCCATCAACTTGAAAATGAACCAAATAGTGGCCTTAAGGCAAATAACTTTCATTTTCATATGGTTTATCAGCTCATTAGCATAACAGTCTGAAAGCTATTCTCAAGTTCAACCATTTAAACAAATAGAAGTCTCCACAAACGCGAATTCATCACGATTCTATGCCAAGTTTTACGATTTTTATAATCATGATCGAACATACTTAACTCATTTGAAAAATATATTCTACTAATCTGTATATTCCCAAAGTATTTATTCTCTTTAGTTTTGAAAGTACTTAGCGTTCACAAGGCTGAAGTAATTAAAAAAGCACGTCTTCAACTGAATTTCGTCAGAAAAACTGACAGCTTATTTCAAAATAAGAATCAAAATTTAGGCAGCGAAGCTAAAAAAGAATATTCTAATAGCGCCATAAATGTTGTAGAGATTTCACAAACTAACTGCAATTGTCAACATTCCATTGCCGCCATTCAACGTCAACGAACTGAAAGTAAAACCACGCTTGAAATTCGCTATGCTTCATGGCGCTACAGAGATCATCCCGCAAATCATGGAAATGAGCTTCCTTTTACCGTAGTCAGTCCGCCGCAAGCTTTTATAAAGCGGACGAAATTCTCTGTCATTTAGCTTTCGTGTTTGCCTAGTCTAGCTGCTTTATACGATAACAAAACAGGTATAATTACAATATTTAAAAAAAAATCTTCGTCTCATTTTCATTTAAACGTTCAAAAATCCAAAGCCCTCCTCTATAAAGCCTCCGCGGGTCACACGGAGATTGAAAATTCGCAAAGATGAAGAAGCGAGAATTGCGAATCAGATATCCATATACGATCACAGAAGTGTCATAAAAAATTTAACTAAAAATTCCAAAGGTGATAAAATAGCTAACTTTACGCCTAACATATTCTGTAAGCTGTAGACACAAAACCTTTGATTTCTATGCGGTACTCCGATTTAGAAAAATATTTAATTAACGGACTAAATACAGTTGATATGCAAATTAACACAAAAGCCTTCACTGGGCGAATCAGAAGTAGAAACGTTAATTGTAAGGTTTTTTTTTTAATCTTTTGTTTTATCAGATATGCACGCTTTAGCTTGTTTGATCTCTTTCATCTTGAGGTGAACTTGGTATCGACTGTCCAGGCCTAAATCACTGATTGACTTAAAACTCAATAAGAGGCTGACACCGAGAAGAATTCAGTGCAAAGTAATGATATTTTAAATGTTAAAAAAATATATAAACATACATATGAATAAAGGCTGATAGTTTCGAAAGAAACTGTTTGGGGCTGCGTCGGTGAGAGTGACGAAATAATTTGGTTATATCAACAAAGTTGAAATGGTAAATTGGCCACCGTAACGATTACAAAAGTTGACGTTTCGAGCGTTAGCCCTTCGTCGGAGCATTTCGCCCTTCACTCCGACGAAAGGGCTAACGCTCGAAATGTCAGCTTTTGTAATCGTTACGGTGGCCAATTTACCATTTCAACTTTGTTGATATATCCAAATTTTATAAACATACAATTTGGCATAAAGAAAAATAACAAAAATTACCGTAGTAATTCTTGAAATCATTTAAACGAATATAATATAAGTTTTATGATAACAAGTGTCAAACTAATCATATTTGTAATCTTTGCAGTGGAACCTGCCCCATATAAAATGAACGTGCAGCTTCCTGGTTCAGCTCAGCCTGTTTATCCACCTCAACCGGGTTCGTCTGCTCAGCCTGGATATCCACCCCAGTCTGGGTTTGCACCCCAACCTGGTTACCCATCTCAGCCTGGGTATCCACCTCAGTCTGGGCACGCACCACCTCATGTTCCACAGACTGTCCAGCAAGTACAGCAAAGTAGCACTGTGATCAATGTTGGTGTCCCTGTAAGTTCATGACTGATCGTTGGCATTATTTTCTGACCAGTCAACATTATTTGATGATTCGGCTGTTTTTAACCTCATTAGCATATCATGCGTCTTCCCTCTTCAAGCCTGAGTCTTCCTTGTTATTTATAGGACGTTAACTGACTTCTTTAATCTTGCACAGGCTACCCAGACTGTTGTTTTGACGCCCAGTCCTCATCCTCCAAATTACTTGTTTCTTTCTGTGTTCACCTGCCTTTGCTGTGTATGGCCCTTAGGACTGGCTGCTATAGTGTATTCTTGCATGGTAAGACAAAATGTAATCATTTCGTTTAAAAAACCATTCTATAAGAAAACGAAAAACAGCAGACAAGGTCGTGTGGGCCTGGAACTGTACTCAACCTTGCATAACTCGGTCTTTGATGCTGAAGAGGATCTTAATCGAGTCTCTGTGTGAACATCGCAAATGTTGGGGAGAAATGTATTTGCAACGATGATGAAGATAACTTGTGGACGAAATTACACGAACTGCAGACGTTTTAGCAATATCAAACTCAGAATCTGCCATTATTTCATGCATTTGCAGTCAATACAGCAAACTTTAGCATAATCTGTACATGTTGTCCAACATTAGCATTTCAAAAAGTAAAGTTGAAGTTCAAGTGATGCGAAAGGCTACTCAGTATGCTTTTTTGATCTCCCTCGATGTTCAAAATTTTTCTCACCGCAGTTGGCAGAAATGTTCCAATATGATTGGCCAATTTGCGGTTGTCTATAAGAGTACGGACAACGCTGCTCGTGTCAATGCGTCACGCAATGCTTTTATCAGTTTGCAAACATGGATGACTCGGAAATGTTGACGTGGTAAAAAACAGTGGTTTAGCGGGGTCTGCACTGCGCCGTATGAATCCACAACATTTTGCCGGACCACCGCGATTACAAATATCGTCGTCAATAAGAGCACAGACCACACTAAACCACTCGCACATGACTTTTTTTCAAAGGTCACAAGATAATCAATACTAGGGCTTTTGTGTTAGTAATATAATCTTATTTCTTTGTTTGTGTGTCTGCAGGTGGATAGTTCATATGGTGCCGGAGATTACGCAGCTTCCGTGAGGAACTCTAACATTGCTAAGTGGCTCAATGTTGCCTCTATCCTTTGTGGAATTATCATAAACATAATTATCGTCGTCTCAGTTTCAGCTTGAAACTAAGCATCTGTTATGTGGGCGTGGTTTTTAGTTTATAAAACATGAGGAAGAGCATCGCTGAGCTCATTTGCCAAATTGGGTTTTTTTTTTTTATTGTAGGATTTTGGTCATACAAACACTTACTCAGCTGTTCGTCTAACGAACTGTTTATTAACATAACTTAGCATATTTTTCGATGATTTCCAATCATATAGTTTTAGGTCTATTCCACAATTTTAAAACCTCATGGCCATTAACTATGATTTCACAGTTACCTTTTACGATTAAGGCATAGTTTTTACAGCTTGTTGTTGAAAAGAGTAAAATCTTATTTTCGTCAACTTACAATGTTAAAGGATTTAAGATTTTACAAAGATTGATTCACGTCTAGCATGCTGATGGATGGATGATTATCAACTTTTTGTTTCAAGCAACAGTCTTTTTGTATTGATTTTGAAGTTTTGAGTAATAAAGGGTTAACGGGTGTTTAGTATACTTTATTATCTATAAGCCTAACATGTCATGTCCACACTTAGAGAGTGTCTTCTGTAAGAGCGGTCCGGTCTATTTTGCTTGAGTCTCGAATTTCGCTCATTTCTTGTGTGCTCTAAGACATTCCTGTGCCTATACTAAAACCACAATCCGTTTGAACAGATCTCCATATTTTTCAGAGTTCTACGGAAATTAAATTTCACTCGAGCGAAGGTCGGTCGTAACACTTTTCATGACTTTGATTTGAGGCAACTTTGGAGGACAATTTACAAAAAACTACGGAGCTCAGCAAAAAACAAATACCACGGCCGGCATGTATGATAACTCTACCTTATCTATCGAGGCGACTTTCGTGAAAATCACATTTCAATCAAGTAAACAAGAAGACTTAAAAGGACACCTTATCGATTGGCTTAAAGTACTATTGAGACGAAAATTGATGTTCTTCAAAACAAATTTTTTATGCCGAAAATTTAAGTTTAGATCCTAAACGAGAAGAAAAAATACAATTCAGACCTGTCGCGGCAAGAAAAGTCCGAAAAAATATTCATTAGAACTCTCTAAATTTCGTCCACCATTGCTGAAACTACAACTACTGAGCCAACGATAAGTTCAGCGTCTCTCCCCATTGCGACGTCATATTATCATCGAAGCTCTGTCGAAGTAAATAGTAAATTCAGTGGCAATCTTGCTCGAAAATCGTCGCTGTTCTTTATTTTAAACGACAGTAATGGCTCTGTGTCTTCCGATGAGAGGTTCATGAATGGTTGTTGTAGTGTTGAGGAGAAATATTGGATATATCGTGTTCCGTGCGACGAAGTAGAGCCACGGGCAACCAAGGAAGAGGCCATC